ATCAGAGCAGCAGGAGTCTTTCGAAAAGGAAACAGCAAGAGTACAGGGCCAACATGTTTCCACAACGTTGAAGGGTAGATCCAACTCGTACAAAAAACCCTGGATAACAAGGTTAAAAAAAAAAGAGGAAGTTTATGACAGACTCTGAGGGCTCAAAATTCTGGAAGCCCCAACAGCATGTAGAAGGTACAGGTGTAAGTTAAAAAGGAATTAGGTGAGAGAATACAGAACATGAAAAGGTACTTTCCAAGTAAAGGAAAATTCAAAAGCATTTCATCACTATATTAGGAGCAAGAAAATCACCAGGGAAAGAATAGGACACATTTGAGATTAGAGTGGTTATATCTGTGCATGAAGCCAGAGGATGTGATTAAGTTTTTTTTTTAAAACACCTGACTGGAGAATTTTAGCTATGAAAGATGACTAGGATTGATTATAGGCTAGGATTGTTTTCCTTACAGCAGGGAAGGCTGAGGGGAGTTCTCATTGATGTGTACCAAATTATGAGGGACATAGATATAGTACACAAGTAGAAACATTTCCCCTTAGTACAGGGGTCAAAACCAGGGAGTAAAGATTTAAGGTTAGGCACAGGAGGTACTTTTCCTCATCCAGAGGATGAGAATCCGGAACTCTGCCCGAAAAGGTGGTTGAGGCAGCAACTATCACAACATTTGATAAACATTCAGATGAACACAGAAATCCCAAAACATGCGAGGCTACAGACCATGTGCTGGAAAATAAGACTAAGGTAGATAAATGCTGGGTGATTGGCAAGAAAACAATGGGCCGAGCTCTAAGACACGACGAGTCTACGTTGCCACATTACGAAATGCAGCATTCCTATAAAACTGACGTGTAGGTTACTTGCAACCACATCCATGTGGACATGAAAATCTGCACGTGGTATTTCTGAATTACAGGTGGTGCTCAAGCCATTCAAGGACCTTAACATTGAAAAGTAAGGACCAGTCAAAACAAAATTAAGTTTTTACTGGAGCTCAGCATCATTTTGGGAGACCAAGTCTGTCATAGAATTTTGACAGTCATTGGACAACAGCTGTGTTTTGAACATTGGTACATGACACATTTGTTTGTAAACTACCAAAGTTACTGAACGATACACCAATGCAGTCAGTCTGAAATGACGCCAGCACATCTTCTACAATCAGTCCTCCAAATAAGTGAATTATCCACACGGAAACCAGCATTTTTGATCCTGGTGCCCACCACAAAATGCAAATTTTATTGTACAATAAAAAAAAGGTCAAAAAGGATTAAAAGCTTAGCTGAGAAGGTCGAGCTATTCCCAAGTCTACTTTATCGCAAGCTGTTAAGCACAGCACTAACAGAGCAAGGATACATTAGTTTCCACTGACAAAATTATAAAAACATGAAAAAGCTATCGCATAAAAGGAGATGTTGGACCCATCTTTTTCATGCTTTGTTCCGCCTTACAGTTCATTTTGAGAGGGGGGGGTGTGTGGGGGGGGGGGTTGGTGGTGGGGAGCGCAGGGACAAGAGAAGAGAGAGAAATTACTCAACTCTATTCCTTCTAACAATTACTCTAAATCCATAATACAATGCTTTCTTCTGCAGCAATGCAGCTTTCGGTACTCAACGGTGTAAACACTATTAAACCGAGCAACAGATAGCCTTGTAGATACATGAAATTATGGGCCTTTCAGTTATTGAAATGCAGATCACAGGAAATCTTCCTTATGTATTTCCACTTTGACTCAATCTAGAAGGAAAAAATGAACAGATGGACACCACAAAAATTAGCTCCCATCCTGGGGTTTTGTCCATTAAATCACATGGTAGCAATAGTGAAGCAGACTTGTAGAACTGAGACATTTAAAACTCAAATGCCGCCTGCAGCCACAGACAACAGCAAAGAAGTGTTCAAAATATACAAATCAATCTACAGAAAGATTTAAAGAAATTATTTCAAACCTACCAATTAGAACTGTGCACAGTATGGTCGAACACTGTTGATGGTGGGGGGGGGAGGTGGTGGTAAAATATAAAATATCACTAAACCTTCAAATACTTTAATACCATAAAACATAGGAGCAGAAGTAGGCCAGTCAGCCCATTGAGTCTGCTCTACCAATGACATTACGGCTGATCTGATAATCCTCACCTCTACTTTCCTGCCTTTTCCCTAAAATCCTCAATTCCCTTACTGATTAAATAATTACGTCAGCCTCAAATATACTTAATGACCCAGCCTCAACAGCTCTCTGCAATAAACTGTTCCACAGATTCACTACCCTCAGAAGAAAGTCCTCATGTCTGTCTAAATGTGCAACGCCTTGTTCTGAGATTATGCCTTCTGATCTTAGACACACACAAGGGGAAATAATTTTTCCACACGTAAATAATATTCAGCTCCATTTTTCCTGAAATCTGAAACAGTTCTCTAATTCTCTCAGTCCAAATCAGTCCAGCACAACACATAGACTAAATAGGTTTCAGCAGTTCAGTTCTCAGAATGGTGTGTAGTACTTCAGCCCAGAACTCGCTTGAAACTTCTTGGGCAATGTCACAGAAACCAAATGAATGGGCGGCATCTGAATTAGAGAATGTTGCATTAGTACTATGGCCTGGGTCTAAGCTCAGGGCTCAGGTGGAGTAGTCAGGAGAATTTGACTGAGCATCTAATTCATTCATCACCACAAAGTGATCGAAACTTGGTATTCAAAGCGGAGAATATGCTGTTCCTCATACATCGGCTTGACAAGCATTAAAAAAAAGACAAAATTAAAAGCAACCTGAAATCAAACATGGTTATCCATCATTTCTTTCAACCACAAAATCATTCTCAAATAGGCTGTGTCAATTTCATAGTGAAAATATGAACTAAATGACAAAATCCGTTTCCATTCACAGAACCAGAAATTTATTTTCAATCACACGTACAATGCAATTTAACTCAAAAAATGTGCTACTATTTAGTGATCTACGTGGAGAAAAAAATATATACCACTTGAATTTACTAAGGGCATGAGAGGAATCTGTTATGTTCAAAAGACTTGATCGGTCAATTGATGGTTTAGAAACGTCAAGCAACGTTAGTTTGGCAGCCACTAGTTGCTCTTTCAAGTTAAAGTTCGTAACACAATTGCATCCTGTAAGTTAACACTATCTTCATTTCCGAAAGAGAAATCCAAAATCTAATACAGTTTACAACCTACCTACCCACCTTTCTGCATCAATCTCCCCACAAGTGATCCATAATATTTCACCTAGTCAAATGAAATATGATATTTTTGGAAAGCAGTGGGAAAAAATTAATATTTTAAATAGGGACCACAGCGACCTAAGAAAATTGAAGAATAACACAGTATTCACTGGTTCTTGTTTTGCACCTTCTGCAAAAAAATTCAAACAAAGGTACAGTCTTCATAGGTCTGTGAACTAATTAAATGAAAGGACTGAAATACGCAGATGGACTTGAATGCAAACATATGAAAATACACTATTCTGATCAGACAAAAAGTTAATAGGAAACCCAACTGCACTAGGATTAACTTTGTGAAGGAATTCAAGATTAATTTTTAGTACTGCATAGCCTGAAGTGCCTTTTCAAAAGCTAGCAAAGACAACATGCCAAACACTTCATGACAACACAACTCAAAGCTGTTCATCTTTCACAACATAACCCACCTGACAAACCGACTTGGACTTTCAAGAGCTCATATTTCCCTTAACAGTCCTTTAAATTTACTTTAGTATATTGCATCAAGTTTAAATTTAATTATACAAGGAAAATAAACTGCAGCTGTATTAATCATTTAGTTTCCTAATCAAAAAGATCTTTCACCATCATGTAGAAATCATTGCTCTTGAAATGTAGTACACTAATCAGCAGCCCACATAATATAAAGACACTGCTTAACCACCTCCATCCTGAAATACAAACCCACAAATAAAACGGTAAGACAAAATTAGTTTGCGTTGATCCAGAGGTACAGTAGTCTTCTCTATTTGTCACTTCCTGCGCAGGTCTTCAAAATGTGTTTGCACCTTTCCTTTATGACGGCTGCAAAATGACCAACCACTTGCAATTATTTTTCTCTTCGTGATATATTTCTCTGGGCTGCACCATTTGAACATTGTCATTTTGTCTCTTGCCTCCATTTATCCAGTGGATTTAGTCAATCGCTTGATTCCAAACTGCCATGTCTCACCCTTCCTTTCTTTACCCCTCATTACATCCTCCAGAGATCACAGAAAATTTACAATGCTGAATGAGGCCATTCAACCCATCATGTCCACGCCAGTTGACAAAGGGCTACCCAGCTGAAACGCACTTTACTGCACTCTGCAGGCAACACATCTTCAAGCAGATCCCTTAGCACTTATGCCATTATGTGGAGATGTCAGTGTTGGACTGGGGTGGATAAAGTCACAAGTCACACAACACTAAGTTTGTCCAATGGACATATTTGAAATCACAAGCTTTCGGGCTGCTGCTCCTTCGTCACTTCACATGACAAAGGAGCAGTGCTGTGAAAGCTTGTGACTTCAAACAAACCTGCAGGACTATAACCTGGTGTCATGTGAATTCTGACTTATGCCACTGGCTGAGGATTTCGAGCTCCACTAAACCTTTTCAGGCACTGAGTTTCAACTTCCCCTCAACCCCAAACCTTAACATCTTTCCTTTGTTGGCAAATCCTTTGTCAATCTTTCCTCCACCATTGTGATTTGTTAACAAACTTACCCCCCGCCTTCAACCTTGCATCTACAGTCCACCCATCAGGCTTCCTGAACCACTACCTTCCTCCCCACTTACCTGGAGGATCTCCTCTCCTACTTTGTTTTACCTTCTCTTCATCCCGCCCATCCCCAAACGGGTCCCAAAAGAGATGACTTTCTCGTCCTCTTGAGGGTCGTGCCAATCCTACGCCCCCCCCCCCCCCCCCACACACACACACACACACACACACACACAAAACAACTGGCACTCATCTTGTGCACTTCTCTCTCACCTTCAAAGTCTGACTCCGAATCAGACTCTGAACCATCGTCGCCGTTGGACTCGGTCTGCATGGGGTCGTCATTGTTGAACCTGCGCCTGCCGCCGGCCTGCTCCTCCTTCTCCTTCAGCTCAGTGAAGTACTCGATGGCGAACTCCACCAGGTCGGAGGGCCGGTTCCGGAGCACCTCCACCGTGTAGCCCTGCAGCAGGTCCGTCAGCCCGGGGGGGATCTCGATATTCATCCTCCCCGATTCCAAGTACAGCTGCCTGAGGAAGTGAGAGGTCCGGAGTGGAGGATGGGGGGGAAGTGGACGGGAGAGGGTCAGGGAATTGAGGAGGGGGGAGGGAGGAAAGGGGCTTCTTCTGAGGACGGTGGGGGATAATCCGCCTTAACGATATTATCGATTATCAGCGACCAGTCGATAAAACCCCCCTCCCCGCCTCCTCCTCCTCCTGCTCTTCAATCCCGCCGATATTTCGGCTCCGAATCAAACCGACACACAAGGAGATGTCCGCGATATCTAACCGATACCTTCCCGATTAGTCACCGACTGTGCTGCATTCACCTCACCCAAAGTGCGACTAAATCGTCCGGCGAGGCGGATTTTTTGACTGATTCATCGGCTTTTTCAGTCGTGTTTTGATAGACAAATGATGATGTGTATCGCTTAATGTAACATTTATTTTTATTTTTATTTTTATTTTTCCTCCCTTGTTCGCTCACTGCCATACGACGTCCACTCCGGCTCTAGCTCTGTTCTGTTCTGTTAACCCCTCCCACCCCGATCCTAACCACGGAGCATTCAAACCTGTTGGCAGGATGGGGCGGGGCAGCACCTGATTGGCGTGAGGTTGGTTCAATCGCCGTCCGGGGGGCGGGGTGTCTATTGTGACGATTGACCAATCGAAGTCGCAAGGGTCGTGGGCGGGACCTTCCTGGCTCTGCCAGCAGGTACGGTTGCGCTCCGCGCTCTTCACTCCAAATCCCCATCCCTCTCCAACCGCCGCGCTGATTGGCAGGCTTCCGATGGCCAATCGGAGAGGCCGCTCCGCCATTGACGTTTCAAGGCAACCTCTGGTTTACCTTCCACTGGTTGCCATGGAAACGGTCGGTCCAAAAAAAAAACAAGGGGAGATTCCCCAGCCTGGGAATTCCTGCAACAAGATGCCTTTAGAAGAAAAAGGAGCTCCCTCCCTTCTTTAATTCTTCCCCTTCCCAAACTTTACAACGATAGTGTTTTCAGCTGCTATTTGATTTTCTTTAGGATGGTTTAATGCAGTGATCTCTATATCACCAAAACTAAATACCAAGGCTGGATATATACCCTCATCAAGGGTGAGTTTCTTACCTTCAGCAATCCAGTTCACATATATGCTAATGCTAGATATTACAGAGCAAAAACAAATCCATATTACCAACTGGGATTTTTTTTGTACATTATTCTGAACTTTTTTTATTTTTCTAATTTATTACTGTGATTTTGTACTTTTGAAGGTCTGTATTGCCAGTTTTTTATTTCTTTATTTTTCTCTTTCTTTCTCCAAAGAGTTTGTACTCAAGAATCTGTACCTGGCTCCTTTGTACCGAAGATGGTACTGTAAGCAGCAAATTGTAAATTTTTCACAGTGAGCTACACGTGACAATAAAGCTAAGTTAATTCAAATCAATAAAGACCATAAGAAAAAGCAACAGGAGAAGGCTGTTCAGCCCCTCAAGCTAGCTGTATTCCCTGAGATCATGGCTGATCAGACCCTTCAATGTGTTTTATTCCTCCTACCCTCATAACCTTGCATGCCACTGGTAATCAGAAATCTATCAATCTCCACCTTGAACATACTCAAAGACTGAGCCTCCACAGCCCTCTGAGGTAGAGAATTCAAAAAGTTTGCAACCCTTTGCATAAAATAATTTCTCCTGATCTCAGAGCTTTTGTGTAGGATTATAGGAATGAAGAACGGGAATAAACTTTCAACCCATCGAGCAAGCCTGGCCATTCAATAGGATCATGTGTGATCAGACACTCAATGCCTTTTACTCATCTCATCCTCATAAGAAATAGCAACAAGAGAAAGCTGTTTGGCCCTTCAGGCCAACTGGATTCCCTGGGATCATAGTTGATTGGATTCTTCAATGTGTTTTACTCCTCCTACCCTCATAACCTTGCATGCCACTGGTAAACAGAAATTTATCAAGCTCTCCCATAAACATAATCAAAGACTAAGCTTCCACTGCCCTCTGTGGTACAGAATACCAAAGGTTCACATTTGTCCTCATCTTAGACCTAAGTAGCACCCCAATTAGTTATAGAATATAGAACCACGATTCTAGATTCCCTACCAGAGGAAGCATCTTATCCGCATCTCGCCTGTTTTTTTCTTCAAGTAAGTTTGAATTAGATGACCTCTTATTCTTCAAAACTGTAGAGAATACCTGCCCCGTTTGCCTGTAGATTCACTGCCACCAATCCTTATTAGTTAGAACCTAAGCTCGTGATGCCAAGTGGGGAAAGATGCCTATGCCCATGCCCATTAGAAGTCCCCAATCTCGGGTCATGTGCAGAGAGTCAGGAGAAATTCCAGAACTGTGAACCCAACTTTTAAAATCGTCACACACGTTTTGGATTATTGGTTGAAGGGGTACGGATGAGAGAGGTGGGGATGGTGGTCGGGTGGAGCAGCCAAGCTAACTTGGGAATTGGGCCACTTGACATGGGAATAGTCTAAAAGGCTGCCTCGTTCCCAAGTTTAATGAAAAGGCCAGCTCCCTTCAGAAACTACATATGCATGAACTACAGCCCAACCCAATCCATCGCCATAAAAATGAGAGATGCTATATTTAGGGCAGGACTTTGGTTTTATTCATTCACAGGCTGTTGGCATCACTAGTTCAGTCAGCATTTATTGCCCCTCCCTAATTGCTCAGAGTTCATTAGAAGTCAACTACATTGCTGTGGGTCTGAAGTCACATGTAGGGCAGACCAGGTAAGGATGGCAGATTTGCTTTCATAAACTACATTAGCAAGCCAGATGGATTTTTCCATCAATAATGGTTTCATGGTAATTATTGGACTCTGAATTCCAGAATTTATTAAATTCAAATTCTACCATCTGCCATTATGGAATTCAAACATTGCATCTAGGACATGAGGCTAGACTTGCAAGTTTGTTATTTTTAATTCACTCATGGAATGTGGGCATCACTGCTGGGCAGCATTTATTGTCTGTCTTTGAGAAGGTGGTGATGAGCTGAATTCTTGAACTGCTGCAGTTCATATGCTGTAGGTAGATCCACAATGCTCTCAGGAAGGGAATTCCAGGATTTTGATCCAACGATAGTGAAGGAACGGTGATATATTTCCATGTCAGGATGGTGAGTAGCTTGGGGGTGAAATTGCATGTGGTGGTGTTGCCATGTATTGTGCTGTTGTCCTTCTAGACAGAAATGGTCATGGGTTTGGAAAATGCTGTCTAAGGATATTTGGTGAAATACGCATTACATTGTCCTAACACCAGAATAACAACTTGGAGAGACACTGAAAGCGCACACACCTCCCCCCATCAGTCTCTTACATCCTGTTGAGCGGTGCTTGTCTCATGACACCGGTTAATCTTTACAGGTACAAACTGGCTTATATGACAAGCTTGTACAACAAGCAACTGGCTTATACAATTGGCTTATATAAATCCATCAGCATACAAAGGAGAAATATCTTCACCCCAAGTAACTCACCCAAAATACCAGCTTGTCTTTCTTTGCCCTGACAATTGTGTGCTTTTTCAAGAATTTTGCAGTTTTTTTTCCAATGTACATGATATTTTATTCTGAAGCTGATTCACAAATAGGTAAAAGCTTCAAATAAAGTGAGCTGGAGTGACAATAATTAGTGCTGAAGATTAAAATCCCGATCCCATTGAGAACGGCAGTGACCACATCTGCAGCAAGTGTTGGCTGCTTGAGGAGCTCCGGCTCAAAATTGATGAGCTGGAATCTGAACTCCAAACACTGCGGCACATCCGGGAGGGGGAGAGTTAGCTGGATGCTGTGTTCCAGGAGGCAGTCACACCTAGTAGATTAACTAATGTTAATGCGATCAGCGGCAGGGACAGCAGTGTGTGACTGTGAGTGAGGCAGGTAGAGTGGACCCTGCAGACAGGAACACAGGAGCCACAGCCCTTGACATTGTCGCACAGGTATGAGGCACTTGCTCCCTGCGTGGATGAGGAACAGGGCTGCAGGAAGGATGAGTCAACTGATCTTGGCACCATGGTTCAGGAAGCCATTCAAGAGTGGGGAACTAAAGGACAGATTGTAGTTGTAGGGGATTCCATCATCAGGGGGATAGACAATATCCTTTGCAAGCAGGATAGAGAGTCCTGCATGGTGTGTTGCCTGCCAGGTGCCAGGGTGCAAGACATTTCTGACCGGCTTGAGGGGATGCTAGAGAGGGAGGGGGAGGATCCAGTTGTTGTGGTCCACATAGGTACCAACAACATAGACAGGACTAGGAAAAAAGAGCTGTTTCGGGATTATGAAAAGCTAGGAACAAAATTAAAAAACAGGGCTTCCATGGTTATAATCAATCTCTGGATTGCTGCCCAAGCCACGTGCAAATTCGCACAGGGAGGCAAGGATCAGGGAAGTAAACACGTGGCTAAAAGCGTGGTGTGGGAAAGAGGGTTTCATTTTCATGGGGCACTGGCATTGGTTCTGAGACAGGAGGGATCTATACTGCTGGGATGGACTTGACCTGAACAGGGCCGGGTCCAGTGTTCTGGCGAAAAGGGTAAATAGGGTGGTCAATAGGACTTTAAACTAGCAAGTAGGGGGGAAGGGAGGAGTGAGCGTACAGGGAGTATAACAATTAATGGAAGGCAAAGCAGCAGGTTAGCAGGTGACGAGAAAGCTTCAACTCCATTGAAAATTAGGAAAAAAGTTAAAGGGAAGGAGAACTCAAGAGCTGTTAGTAATGGAGGTGATAGGACTCAAAAAGAAGGTGCAAAAACTGGCATAAGGGCACTTTATCTGAATGCTCGGAGCATTCGAAACAAGGTGGATGAGTTGACAGTGCAAATCATGGCAAATGGGTATGAGACATGGTTGCAGGATGGTCATGACTGGGAGTTAAATATCCAGGGGTATCAAACTTTTCGGAAGGACAGACAGGAAGGTAAGGGAAGTGGTGTCGCTCTGATTTTTAAGGATGATATCAGGGCAGTAGTGAGAGATGATATAGGTTCTACTGAACAAAAGGTTGAATCCATTTGGGTGGAAATTAGGAATGGCAGGGAGAAGAAGTCACTGGTAGGTGTGGTCTATAGGCCACCAAATATGACATCGTGGTGGGGTGGGCAATAAACATAGAAATAGCTAATGCATGTAAAAATGGTACAGCAATTATCATGGGGGATTTTAATCTACATATCGATTGGTCAAACCAGGTCGGTCATGGCAGCCTTGAGGAGGGGTTCATAGAATGCATCCGCGATAATTTCCTTGAACAATATGTAATGGAACCTACGAGGGAGCAAGCTATCCTAGATCTAGTCCTGTGTAATGAGATGGGAATAATTAATGATGTCACAGTTAGGGATTCTCTCGGAAGGAGCGATCACAGTATGGTCGAATTTAAAATACAGATGGAGTATGAGAAGGTTAAATCCAGTACCAATGTCTTGTGCTTAAATAAAGGAGACTATGATGGGATGAGGAAGGAGTTAGCTAAGGTAGAATGGGAGCAAAAACTTTATGGTGGGCCAATTGAGGAACAATGGAGGACTTTCAAATCGATTTTT